AGGCCCTTTTGCCACCCAGGGGCTTCCTTCATCTGGAAGGGGCTCAGCACAGCAGGGGCAAAGGTTTAGCTAGGTTTGCACGAACATCCACTTACACTTTGCCAGTTCTCATTTCTGGGCTAGTTTGACCCCCATCGCGCTCTCACATCTACGTGTGCAAGGACACCTATGGATTCATCCATCCGTTGACTGAGACCTAATTGCCAGATTCCCCCCCAGGGGATGCCATTCCTTGATTCTTGAAAACCAGGCCTGCTAAGAGCCAAGCCGCCCTTGCGTTGAGCCTCCAAACTTGGCAACGTGTAGACCTCATTTCCATTTGAACACCAGGGTGGAGGACCCAAGGGAAGACTAGCTGACACCACGGAACAAATCGTGTAGGTTTCACCAAAGCAGGCCTGCTTCGCCCTGAGTTCATTTTTAGTGCCCTGAAAACAGTTAACAGAAGTTGATTCATACCTCTGGTTTTTTGGTTTTTTTTTTAAATAAAATGACCGAAATCCATTTACCAAAATAGACCGTGGCCTTTATTAAGAAGGAGAGCGTGATGATGATGTAATTTCTAAACTAAGCTTTGCAGCAGCAAGAGAATTATTTCAAACTGGAACGATGGAACCAATATGTAAAAATGGGACTTTTTTACATATTAAAGGCATGGGCTCCTTTATTGCCATTTAAAGTATGAAGAAATGTAGGCATAAACTAGAGCAGGCAAGTTTTCTTTTGTTGGTGTTTTAGCACCCTGGGGGGATGTGGGGGTGTGGAGTGCAGTGGTGAGAGGGAAGGGGCTAGATATTTCTGCCCGGGTTTTTTAGGGTTTTGGTGGGGGATTTTAGTGGAAATATTAATGATATTGAGGTTTATCTGTGTCCTCAGAGTCACCTACGTGGTGCAAATGGTTTCTGTAGTCTGCAAGTTTTTTCCTCTGGGAGCCCATTCCTCGTCCCACACCATTCCAAGGGGGTTCATCCCAAATTGTATAGCTAAAAGTCTCCAAGTGGCCTCAACGGCCCTCTTAAAAGGGTGCAAATGACTAGCTGTCTGCAAGGAATATCAGTCCTTCCATTCCCCACCATTCAGTCAGAGCTGAAAAAGCTTCTTGGATGAGAAGCGAAATGTCTTCAAAGAAAAACCAGAAAGTCCAGTTGCCTCTTGAAAAAAATAAAATAAAAGACCTTTGGGACAAATAGCTTTGAGGAGTTAATAGGGATCGTCTTCCAAGGAGGGAGGGGGGGAGTTTTTTAAGGAGCCTTAAGGACTCTGGGAGTTGAAGTCCACAAGCCTTAAAGTTGCCGAAGTCGGAGACCCCTGCTCCAGTTGTGTTGAGCTGTTGAATTTCCCAACCATCATCCAAGCGAAGAGCCCTCTTGGTTGGCAGTTCTGTTGTGTCAACTACGATTGAATCCAGTTCTCCCTTCTCTTTTACCCACCTCGGATGCTGTCTAGGTTTATCGTCCCCATTTCCTGTGTCATCTGCAATGACATCATGGCGTACATGTTTGGATTCTTCTTCGGACGCACCCCACTGATCAAGGTCGGTTCCTATGTTGGGGTGATTGGAACATCTGCAGGGGGACAGCCTTGGGCTTCAGTTGAGGCCAGAGTTGAAAATCCACCAGTCTTAAAACTTGCCAAGTTTGAAGACTTTGCACTGGTTGGTTGTCCTCACTGCGAAGGAATTTCTCCTTAGTTCTAGGTTGGATTAGTTTCCATCCATCACTTCTTGTCCTGTCTTCAGATGCTTTGGAGAATAGATTGATCCCCTCTTCTCTCTGACAGCCCTACAATTATTGGAAGGCTGCTATTATGACACCTCTAATCCTTCTGTTCTAGTTTTAGTTTTGGAAATCCTGCATTTTTTGGTCTTGAGCTTCCTGATTTCTTTCTCCCCTTTTTTCTAGTTATTGATTCATTCCTCTCTCTTTTTTGACTCTTGAATCTGCAGTTGTCCCCAAAGAAAACCTGGGAAGGATTCATTGGAGGATTCTTTGCCACTGTTGTGTTTGGCCTTTTAGTAAGTGTTTGTTTTACTTTTAATAAGAACCACACCAATCAAGAGGGGAAAACAGGAAGAATTTGAACACTTCTATAAAACACAGGCCTGACCCGTAGGGTGCAGAATCCACCAGGAAATTCGCAAGGAAAGGCTTATACAAACTGGGAAAGATACGAGCAAACAACACATTTTTTGAATTAGGACAGTTTGGACACTAAGACAGACTACAGGAATTCTGTATTGTTCATGAGAACAATGAGGAGGCACAAAAAATAGGTTTCTTCCTTTCCATTGTTCCAGAATAACAGATTTAAGTCTCAGGCAGACCAATTCCAGTTTCAATGTTTGAAAAATCCTCTCAACGTTAAGAGTTTAGCAATAGACTGGATAACCAAAATACATTCCCTGTATGGTAAAGCGCTAGAAGATTCTCTATCTGGGATGCTTAAATTTGATTCCCTGCCAGAATTCCTGGGTGGTAAAATAGATTGGAAAGTTAACCCAACATCCTGAAAGAAAGTAGTGTCCAAAATCTTCCAGGTTGCCGCTAAGAAAGTTCCAGGGAAGTGTCCAGCTGAAATTAGCTTGAAAGAAACCCCACCTTTATTGAGCAAAAGGATTCATGGCCCCTGCCAGCTTGAGAGGGTTATGCAACTAGTCCTCAGTTAACAACATCCGGTGACTATTCAGTTGCTGTTAGCTGAGTTAGGCGGCCACGTGACAGCATGCTTTTACGACCATGTGAAGTTGAGCAACAGAAATCCTGTCCCATTGGCCGTAGTGAACGGAGGACTACCTGTGGTTAAACCTTAGAAAAATTGTTCGTTTTCATCTGTTCAGAGTTTTCCAGCATAAATTCAGCGCCAGAAAAGTAAACACAGATGGCTGAGGCTTCATTTTAACTTCTTAATCAACACATAAAGTAAATTTTACAATACCAGTTGTAGATTTCTCCAACATTTCTCCAAACTCAAACAGAAGCAGACATGTTAAAGGTTCAAAGCTTCAGCAGCAACTCAGCTTTAGCTCGGAAACAGACCTCAGTTTCACTTTAGTTCAGCAGGCAAGCAAGACACACAGCGGAGGAAAGAAGCCGTTTTATTCTCAATAGACAGACTCAGAGCTCAACAGAGCTGCAGAGCTTAATATCGAGCCACGCCTAGGCTGCTTCTAGTTTCAGTTTCCAAACAGTCCACCTTGGCTGACTTAGTTGCTCTGCGTATTCATCGGCTGACCTTGTTCTCATGCTCTTATTCCAGTTCATGAATATACTCTGACATTATCCCTTCTGGTTTTCATGTCTACTAGTTTGACCTCATTTTTAAGGCACCATGGCGGAAGTTAACTCTGTGACTCTTCTTCTCTTCTTCCATCAATCCCCACCAAGCTATCATACCTGATGTCCGGATACAGATGTTTCACCTGCCCAGTCGAATTCAACAACGACACCAACAGCTTCACTGTGGATTGTGAGCCTTCGGAGCTTTTCCAGCTGCAAGAATATAACATCCCACTGGTGCTCCAGTCCGTGATCGGCTGGGTAGGCCTTTCAATTCAGCTACTCCGTTTGCCCTGACAGTATTGCAAAGGTGGCTAAAACACATGTTCCTTTTCACATGCTGAAGAAGGGAGGGGGATATTATGGCCATCATATTTTATTTCTGGTGGGGGAGAGGAGGAGTAAGGGGTGAAATTGATATTATCTCCATTTTGGTCCTTAAAACTCTCCAGCCCCTAAAAAGAACTTTGGATCAATATTTCTCATTTTAGGAGGGAGCTAAATGGCCAGATAAGATCTTAAACTTTTTGCAAGGCTTAAAACAGGTGTGTGTGTGTGTGTGTACATTTCTTAATATAAGTTGTACTTTAATATATTAAGAACGTTTATAAACATAAATATGAACTATGAATGTATTGAGTTAAATATATTTAATCTATATTTAATATATTAATATATTCTTAATATACTGTAGTTTTTAACTGCCCCATCTCCCTTTCACTTTACAAATCCACAATTTTTGGATGAAAAATTTGCTTCCCTTCTCCCCCCCCCCCCAACTGGTCTTATGCCCTTCACCCCCTAAGCAGGCAGAAGAAGGAATTGTGGCTATAGTTCAAGGATTGCCCACCATGGTTGAGTTACCAAAAGGAAAATTAGCTTGTGGTGGTGCCAAAAATAAGATTTGCTCCATCAACGCCTCACTGTTGACCTCCAAGTTTGGGTCAGGACGGCGCAGGACGCCAAATCTCATCATGGCTTGGAACCCAACTTCAGAAAGCCAGCCAAAACTGAACTGATGAATGCAAACAGAGGCTCTTAAGACATCCCCCAGGACCTAGGGTTGAGTCCCAGACCGTATCGGTTTAATTTCTCTCATAAATGAGCCCTCTGGCCTTTAAATTGACTTCAGATCAAAATGGTCCAACTCCGAAGGTATGACTAATAACGGACACACCTCCTTGTAGGAAATGGCCAGCCTGCTCCTGAAGGAGAAGTCAAAGGCGTCATCAGCCTCGAGTCCCTTCAGGCCCACAAGAGATCTGAGTCCAGCCTACTTTGAATTCCATTCATTCTTATCCACCGCCAGTTTGCTTTGACCATTAGTAGTTCAGATTCTTGTAGAGACCGTCAGCTTTCAATAAAATTATATGTATTCATTTGAACTGCCTGGACTTCTGGTTTTCCCACATTGGACCCTCCTATTGGCAGTTCATGAGCCCCAGCTGACAAAGCAGGAACTCACCTTGGGGGACTTAATGGACTGGCCTGAATGATGAACTACCCCGGGGGACGGGGGGAGGGGGTTGGCATCCCTCTGCTCCCCTTCTTGCACCTGGCCCCTTTTCCTCATTTCTCTCTCCTTCCTGCAGAAGATGGTGAGGATGTATCCCTTCCAGATCCACAGCATTGCTCTCTCCACTTTTGCATCCCTGATTGGACCTTTTGGGGGTTTCTTCGCCAGTGGTTTCAAAAGAGCCTTCAAGATCAAGGTAGGCCACACCTGAGCATCAACATCAGCGTCCCAGAGGCTGGGAAGCGTTTTTTTAAAGAAAAAGGTCTCATCCAATCTGGGCCTGGCTAGTCTAGGGAAGAGAAGGACCAGGGGAGACAGGAGAGCAGTCTTCCAATATTTGAGGGGTTGCCCCAGAGAGGAGGAAGGGGGTCAAGCTATTCTCCAAGGCACCTGAAGGCCAGACAAGGAATAATGGATGGAAACTGATCAAGGAGAGATTCAACCTGGAAATAAGGAGGAATTTTCTGACAGTTAGAACAGAACAAAAGTTGCCTTCAGAAGTTGTGGGAGCTTCATCATTGGAGGCTTTCAAGAAGAGGCTGGACTGCCCTCTGTCAGAAAATGGTGTAGGGTCTCCTGCTTGGGCGGGGGGTTGGACTAGATGACCTACGGGGTCCCTTCCACCTCTGTTAATCTGACTTTAATGAACAAAAGGACCAGAGGAGATAGGATAGCAGTCTTCCAATATTTGAGGGTCTGCCACAGAGAGGAAGGGGTTAAACTAAATGGTGTAGGGTCTCCTGTTTGGGAGGGGGGTTGGACTAGTTGACCTACAAGGTCTCTTCCAACTCTGTTAATCTGTATTCTAAGCCAATTTTATGATGTCAATAGCTTGGTTCCTCTTTCCTCTAAATCAGAGGTCTCCAACCTTGGCCCCTTTAAGACTGGTGGACTTCAACTCCCAGAGTTCCTCAGCCAGCAAAGCTGGCTGAGGAACTCTGGGAGTTGAAGTCCACAGTCTTAAAGGGGCCAAGGTTGGAGACTCCTGACTTAGATGACCCTTCTGGTCTCTTCCAACTCTATCATTCATGGCTGGCTGAGGAACTCTGGGAGTTGAAGTCCACCAGTCTTAAAGGGGTCAAGTTGGAGACTCCTGACTTAGATGACCCTTCTGGTCTCTTCCAACTCTATCATTCATGGCTGGCTGGGGAACTCTGGGAGTTGAAGTCCACCAGTCTTAAAGGGGCCAAGGTTGGAGACCCCTGCTCTAAATCTAGTCTACAGAAGAGAAGACCAGGGGAGACAGGAGAGCAGTCTTCCAATATTTGAAGGGCTGCCACAAAGAGGAGGAGGGTCAATCTATTTCCTAAACCAGGGGTCTCCAACCTTGGCCGCTTTAAGACTTGTGGACT